CACCAAGCAAAGATATAAAAGCGCTAAGGGAGCGACGTGTCAAGGGACAAGAAGACCAATCGGAATCACAATAGACTGTAAGCGTTAAATCCTTGTCTGACTTCAGTATATAATACCTTGACCCGACGAACCTTTTAAGAAGCGGACCACCCGAAGTGCTGACTCCCAATGACCCTCACGAGGTGCCTTCATAAATTGAGAGAACAAGTGTACTGAATAGCATAACTCGGGACGCGTATGAAGCAAATAAATCAGGCATCCCACAAGTCTGCGATACTTAGTAGGATCAGAGAGGAATGGACTATCATCAGTAGCGAGCTAATGTTTCTGCTCAAGAGGAGTCGGAGCTGGTTTGGAGCCAAGGTTACCGGTATCTGAAATAATATCTAACGCATACTTGCGTTGTGATAAGAAGAACCCCTCAGGACCTCGACTAACTTCTATACCAAGAAAGTATTTTAATTTGCCCAAATCTTTCATCGAGAAGCACTTGCTCAAATAATCCTTAAACTTCTGAATCATGTACCCATTATTACCACATATGAGGAGATCATCCACATAAATCAAAACTCGTAACTCGATGCCTTTGCAAGTGTACGAGAAGTGTGAATAATCATTATATGACTGAATGAATCCAAGCTTAAGCAACGCATATTAGAGCTTCTTAAACCAACACTGTGGTGCTTGTTTGAGCCCGTACAAGGACTTACGCAAGCGAAAAACCTTATTAGGATGTGTGTGACGAAAACCAAGAGGAAGCTTCATGTAAACCTATTCTTGAAGATCACCGTGAAGGAATGCATTATTTACATCCATTTGATAGACCTCCCAATTGTGAGCAGCAACAAGACGGAGAAGTGCACGAACCGTAGTAAGCTTGACAACAGGAGCAAACGTCTCATCGTAATCCTCCCCTTCATTCTGATTATTGCCTTGAACGCCGAGACGCGCTTTGTATCTTTTTACTGTTCCATCGGCCTTGTATTTAGTCATGTAGACCCATTGACTTCCGAGAGCAACCTTGTCTGGAGGCAAATCACAAATATTCCAAGTTTGCTTCTCCTCCAAGGAAACAACTTATGTGGTCATAGCATCATTCCACACTTTGATTTGTACCGCCTCTTTAAATGTTTAGGCCCCACGCCTTGTGTTATGGCAGTCAAGAAAGCCTTATGATGTGGAGAGAAGTTATCATCTGAAACATAATGTGTCAACGGGTAAAGAGTATTACCTTGGACCGATGAGGAGACTGTTGTGGAGTTGATGTGAGCGTGATGGGTATTCGGATTGCAAACAGCATTATAAGGGACATAGCCTTGCAGATGAACATTAGGGAAATGGTCCTGTTGTCCTCGACCAAAATCTGCTTCTGACGAGGAAGTTGTAGGAGGTACTTCTGTCGGAGGAACTTCTGCTTCAGCTGCCTCACGAGACTCTGTTTCTTCTGTATCCAGAGACTGTTTCTGCACTCGGAGATTTGTCGTGTAAAGTAGAATTTGACTCAACTACATCTGGAGTAGCAATAGTCGGAGAGGGTGAGACTGGTACAGTTGGAGCAGAAGCAGGACTCCCCCTTTCGATTAGCGGCTAAGAGATCACCCAATCTGCATCACATGGTTCCGGAGTTGGTGAAAGAGGAATACTCAATGAAGGAGGCTCACGAAAAGGGAATACGTCCTCTCGAAAAACAACATCTCGAGATATAAGAAACTCGTTGTGTGCCATATCGTATACTTTCCACCCCTTTTTACCAAAAGGGTAACACATAAAGATACAAAGACGACTTTTCTCACCAAATTTGTCTTTGTTTCGATGCATACGATGTGTATAACACGCAGAGCCAAATATACGTAGCTGTGTGTAGTCAGGCTTGCAACCATGAAGTACCTCATAAGGAGAACGTCTTTGATGAAGAAAAGTAGGCGTGCGATTAATTAAATATGCAGACATTAAGACAGCCTCTCCCCAAAACCATACTGGTAAGTGCGCTTGAAATAACAATGCGCGGGACACATTAAGGATATGTCTATGTTTGCATTCGACTCGCCCATTTTTCTGTGGAGTTGCAACGCAGAAAGTTTGATGGATGATTCCATGCTCACAGAAGTAAGACGAAAGACACATAAACTCAGTCCCATTGTCACTACGAACCATTTTGACGGACTTGCCAAACTGTTTCTCCATGTAGGCAAAGAAATTAGCAAGAACAGTCTGTACTTCGGATTTCTCAAGCATCAAATATGTCCAGACCGCTCTAGAAAATCATCAACGATAGTCAAAAAATAAACTGCACCACATGAAGATGGAACACAATATGGTCCCCATACGTCGCAATGTATTAAAAAAAAAACAATCTGTTGTTTTATTAATACTATCGGAAAAAACTTCTCGTGTTTGTTTTTCCCTAAAACAGACGTCACAAGGACTAACAGCAGACGATGGACTATCACTAAAAGACATAGGTAAATCCGAAAGCACTGAATAACTAGGATGACCTAAACGCTGATGCCACAGAGCTTTGTCGGAGGAGACGCTGACTTTGTGAATCTTCGCAGTAGCTACACCCGTTAAGTAATACACCCCATCACGCTCTTCACATCTTCCAATCAGAGTCCTCGAAAATGGTCCTGTAAAACACAAAGTGTATCAGTGAATGTGGCAAAGCAATTGGTTTGTTTAAAAAATTTTGAAACAAAGACAAAGTACAGTTCAAAGAAGGCACATAAAGGACGTTATCTAATGAGAGTTTATCAGAAAGAGGAAACACGCCCATATGTAAGGCAAAGGTTTGGTTTCCATCTGCAAATCCCACAGAACATGGTGGTATAGATACCACATTGACCAAGAACGAGAGATCCCCTGTCATATGATGGGAAGCTCTGGTGTCAAGAATAACATCACCAAAGTGTTTATTACCAGATAGTTTATCAGAACTGTTGTTATTGGACTTGTCCTGAATCAGCTGAGTGAGAACTTTCCATTGATCATCAGTGAACTCGGGAAAGATGGAAGAATTGGAGCTTGTCGCATGAGCAGCGGTAGCTTATCCTTTGCCATGTCCACCATTGCCTCTGCCACCATTGTTACGTCCACGTCCATTATGACCACCACTGTTTCGTTCAGCACGTTCAGTGTACCAGTCCGGAAATACCACGATCTGCCAACAATCCTTCTTTGCGTGTCCATTACGTCCACAATGCGAGCAGAGCAAAGTACGAGATCTCAGGATGGATTTGTGAGAGCGGGAACCACTTGCAGAATCTGACCGAGGAGATGCATCAACTTGGCGAGCGACAAACCCAACGGCGTCTTGCTGTTGCTCGTGAACCCGTGAGGAAGACAGCCTCTGTTCTTCTCGGATGACTTTTTGATAAACCTCGGCGACGTTTGGTAATGGATCTAAACCAATAATTGTACTGCAGAGACTACCGAAACAAACATCATCAAGGCTCATGATGAATTGATGAACCTTCTCATCAGCTCTTTCTTTTACATATTCTCTTGCCGCACTACAAGTACATATCGGCAAGGGACTGTAAATCTCAAACTCTTCCCAAAGAGTACACAAACGGCCATAGTAGTCGAACACACTTTGGTCATCTTGACTACACGCGGCAAGATTAACTTTGATTTGATGAACATGAATTTTGTTTCCAACCGAGAATCGAAGCTTCAACTTGGTCCACAGCTGATGAGCGTTGTTGATGAATGTTACTGTCATCTTCACCTTCGTGTTCAATAGAAGCACGGATCCAACCTATGAACATTGAGTTCACTGCAACCCAGTTGTCATAGTCGGGATCATCGTGAGATGGTTTGGTCAATGTACCATTGATAAAACCAGCCTTCCGTTTGGCTTAAAGAGCGTTGAGCATCTCAGTTGCCCATTGATTGTAATTGTCTCCCGTTAACATAACAGGAGTAATCATTGAGCCCGGATTGTCGGATCCATACAACGCATAAGGAGACTGAGAAACTGTCTCAGACTTGGATACCACGGACGTTTCTGCAGACATCGTCACAGACGATACAAAAACAGAGGTTTCGAACAAAAAAACAGAGTATTCGAACCAAAGAAGCAAGGAACAAAGAAGAAGAAACGATTGCTTTTAAAGCTTTTAGGTCTTTGAAAGCTCTGATACTATGTAGAATTAGATATCAAACTTGCTTGTCTTATTAACTTCATGAACCAAGTATATTTATACAACAATAAGTCGACGAAACTATCAATCTAGTCTAGGAATATTTCCTTATCTTAAATAGGAAATTATACTTTTCTCATTGAATTTACAAGATACGAACATTATGGCGATATAGTGTATATCCCAATAGTTAATAAGAAAAAAACCTCTTAACAAAGCTCTTGTCTAGTTTTCTTTTTAATATAAGCTAATGCCTCAACTTGCTTATCTACTATACATTAAAATAGAAACATTCCTAGCCATTTTTGCTGAGGTGTCAGCACTAGAATTTTTCTACTATAATTTTTATTAATTTTCAATCCGTTTACATAAATTTTTAATTGTTATTAATCAAATTTTTTTCAACTATAGTGGATATTTTTTACAAAAGATCTGACCCTTTACCAAATTAAAAGAACGCGAATCTAAAACACTTAAAATAAACCACCTCACAATTTAACGGATACCATTATCGGTCCAAAAATTTGAACGGTTTGAACAAAATCTGAAGCAACTATATATTGCATCTCAACATACAAATATCTTTTAAATAATACAGAAATTTCGGATTCAATCTGATCTTCATATTCTTCACCTGTTGAAGAAAAGAAGAAAACGAATATTACAATTTTAAGATGTTCAGAAGATGAATATTCGTTGAAAGTTAAATTTTTGGCTTAATATCTTCAGAAAATCACATAACGAATCAAACATTCATCAACCAAATCATTCGAAATATTATTACTTGTAAATTACATCCTAAATTTAAGGAACTATTTCTACATTTCAGTTATTCTACCTGATATACATTATAACAGAATGGAAGTATTGCTATATTCTACCCGTTGATATATTCTACCCGAACATATATGCTCTACCTTGATCCACTATATATACAGACTATATTCCTCTCTGAATAATCACCTTTGCTTTCCGGTACATTTCAATACTCAGATCAGTGCTTCTATGACTTCTCTAGCTGCTTTGGAACCTTTCAAAACCCAATGGAGAGTTCACGTTAAGATTATCAAACTATGGAAGCAGTTTTTGAATGGTGTCCCAACTTTGGAAATGGTCTTTGTTGATGAGAAGGTATAATACTGTACTTATGTTTATTATCTAAGTTAAATTCTACTTTGTGGTACTCATTAATTATTAAATTTTGGCAGAATGAAACAATGCATGCTACTGTGAGAAAGGAATTAATTAAAAAATTCGAGAACTCCATTGAAGAAGGAGAGTGAAAATCATCAGTAACTTTACTGTTACTCACAATGGTGGAAGGTTCAGGATCACAGCTCATCCCTACAAGATTCAATTTGCAGGAACTACTTCCATTAGGCCCTCCGAGGAATTGCCTCCGCATATCATTGGATTGAAAAGTGTGAACTTCAGTGATATCCATGATGGAAAACTGAATCCTGACTTCTTGATAGGTATGATGTGGAAATTATTAACTGATGGGTATAGTTTGTGTTATGTTTTAAATTGTAGATCACGGTAAAATCAATTAATGTTATATATGTGTTATGTTTAGATGTCATTGGTCAGATTGTGGACATTGGGGATGTTGAAATTCTTAACGTAAACAAGAAACAAACCAAGCGGCTCACTATGTCTCTCCGTGATCTAGCGTAAGCATTACATACTATATCTAACATTACTGCGTTATAAGTCACCGCTCACTACTTATGATTTATCATTGTTTTTCAGTAATGTTCGTTTGAATTGTGTTCTTTGGGGAGATTATGCTGAGGAATTAGAGGGAGTTGTTCAAAATTGTAATGAAGCTATTGTTACATTTGTCTTAAGATTTGGAAAATTAAGACTTTACCAAGGTAATACAACTGTTTACCCCTCTTATAGTTATATATCATGCTTTTAGTTTACTAATACATAATATTAAACTAGGTACTTGGAGTGTTGGTAATTGTTATAGTTCTTCCATTTTTATGATCAATCCTGAAATCCCGGAGATAGTTGCTTTCAGAGAAAGGTATTATGTCATGAACTCACAATTGCATCGAAAATATTTATAGATATTTTTTTTGACATAGTCTGCCAAACGATGGTCTTTCTCTAAGTTACACACATCCTAATCAGTTGACCGTGTTCAATACTATCTCTGTCAGAGATGACTTTTTCCTTCAGAGTCCTCGCAGAACAATAAGTGATACTATTTCTGCATCTGAGGTAAACTTTAACTACGATAGAGACAAAGTTGTTATTTTGATATTTCGCTTATCTTAAATTTTTAATTCCAGGTCTCTAAGTGTGTTACTATGTGCATTATAATGTCTATTGACACTGAATTTGGATGGTACTACATGTCTCATCGATCCTGTGGCAAAAAAGTTCTGCCCTATGGCATGGATGCAATGAAAGAGAAGTATCCTGGAAGGAAGTTTCCTAAACACTTATGGAAATGTGAAAAGTGCAACGAAGATGTTGATGATCTCGTACCAGTGTAAGTTGACTGAATTATGCATCAAACATTTTATTAAAATCCCTGATAATCTATTCCAATCAATTCTGTTTATTCATAACAGATTTATGTTGACCTTTCGGGTTATGGACGACAGTGGTGAAGCTAAGTCCCTACTCATCGATAAGGAGGCTATGGAATTTGTGAACCAAACAGCAGCTCAACTTACGGAATCAGTTGATGAGGTACCAAGTTTACTGATATTAATCATTAATGATATCTTTTATTTGAAAACTTTCAAACTAATATAATGGAATTGCCATTTACTAGCAGGTTCAAGATCCTGATGTTCTACCGCTAGCATTGAGTAACATAATAGGAAAGACATTTCTGTTCAAGATTGCTATACAAACTTCAAATATAGTCTTCAATAGTCCTGCTTACAAAGTAATCAAGATTATTACTCAGAGTGATATGGTGAAGGAGTTCAGTGAATTTAAGGCTTCGTAGGTTTTGAAGGGTTTTTTATTTTTTTTTATATTTAAAATTATAAAGTTACATACATAAGGTGTTTTATGTGAATAGTTTATACTTATATGTATAGTATGGTCCATTGTACAGAATACACATGAATCTAAGTTTGCTTATGCCAAATGATGAGAAGGTATGATCTTAAACTTATTTATGTTTTGATTGACTACTTATTATAATCAGATTGCTAACTAAGTTTGGCATGTCTTTTAATTGCATAATACTAGGTCCCAAAGTTGTTTCTTGAAAGCGATCAAGGTGAAACCACTCCTCTTTCCAAACGAAAGAGCAATGACAATGAAGAAGATTCTGAACATGCAGATGAGCAGTCAGTAGCGAAGAAGAAGTGTGTCAGCAACGAAGGGAAAATAGCAGGAACTGAGGAACAAATGATGAAGATCATCAAGAAAGAGAAGGACCATGTTAAAGTGTGATGAACTGTTTTGAAGTGGAAATGGCTATTGTTTTTCTCTCTGCATTTTTATTCAATGTTTTTATTCATTTCCTGCACTTTATATTTTTCAGTACTGATTTTCATATCAGAACTGATTTCCGCTTTAAGTTTTTCGAACTGGTGTAAGTTTTTTTAGTAATGGCCACTTTTTTTTATTAAATGTATTTGCTAAAATTTAACTAATCTCTAAAACAATTAACAACCAAATAGTTATCTTCGTTTGTTACCTTCTGAATAATAATGGGCTGCTTTTATATGGGCTCCTCATACAATATGTATCACCTCCTTCATGTGTAGTCCAATAATGCACACCTTAAGCCTATACGATATTGTACAAGAAAAGTGGATAAGATTTGCCGCCATGTTCAACCAATACTTGAATGATATCAACAGAAAATCTCAAATCAAATCATAATCTTCAGAAAATATTGGTTTTACTTTCTTCAAAAAAAGTAGGATATGGTAAACTGAAACAAGCAGCGTGCTGTCTTTTCCCATATATTTTTTGCCATCTTTGACGTATAGAACCGGTCAAAACTAAATCAATTACACGAGTTCACATGATTCTTTAGTAATTAATTTATTTTTTAATTTTCATGAACCACTAAACCTAGATGTCCAACCTGTATATAAAAGACCTCAGCGACGATCTAAAATAACATCCCAAGCAAAGATTTATAATATTTACTAAGATTTTCACAGCAAAGCAAACTATGTCTTCAATGTTTAGCCATATTATTGATCTTCATCCTTGCAAATCAGACTAGGTTATTCGGGTAAAGGTTCATAGGAGATGGGAAGTCGTTGTTCGTGATGGAGAAGAGACTCTCCATTTCATTCTGGTTGATGAACGTGTAAGTAGATCTTTTCTCACTTTGTATACATTTATTAGATCCGACTCTTTTATGTTTTACCTAAGATGACAAATTTTTTCTTTATGAATATTTGTTTTCAGGATGACAAAATTCATGCCAAAATTATTTGGCCTTGGTTGTTTCCATATTTCAATGAAAAGTTGAAGGAAGGATACTGGAGGAAAATCTACAACTTTACAGTTTTCAGGGTTCTTGGAAATCAAAGATTCACTGCCGTAGACATGGGAATTAATTTTCTGGAGAACACCGAGATCAAGAGATCTAAATTTGATTCTGAAGATCACTTCATGCATTTCAAAAGCTTTGAAAATATCTTCAACCATGGAGTAGCCCTAAATCTTCCAGTTGGTAATTACCGCTTTCAATATTCTTATGTTGTTGTTAAATGAATATATTCTTTACTTTTAACCTATCCTAATTTATTTGTTAACCGTCATATAGATGTGATTGGGAAAATCTCCTCTGTTGACAATCTATAGTTGGTTCATGATGACCTATTTGATGCTCATGTTCCTAAACTAATATGCCGTCTCAAATTTCAGATTCTGAATAATGAGTAAGACTTTACAGTTTTGAACTTATATTTGTGGATAGAGTCGTTTTTTTAGTATCCTAATTATCTGCTCTTTACAGGGACGATTCTATTGAATGTGTGGCTTATGGAAAATTGGCAGAAGAATTTAATTAACATTGGTACTGTCTCAACGGCAGTAATGCTGTTTGTGTTTTATCTGATTGGCGTCCTATGACGATTGAAGGTAATTTTGTATTTTTGTAAATACTCAAACCAGCATATAACAGCTGTAAGTCTCCTCTAACTCTTCCTTGTGTGACATCATTGTAAGATATTATCATCTATATTATTTGCAATTGAATTTCAGGCCAAACAATCTAATTGAGATCGACTAGAAGGACTTTGCTATGAAGAAGGGAGATTAGATGAACTATTTGTTGAAACAAATGTTTTTGAACTGTCTTCCTATGTGATATTACAGCTTATGTTTTCAGCAGCATTATTTTTCCCTTTCCTCTACTTTTTAATTTTATGTTTTCTTGGCTTTAATTAATGTTTCATTCTCAGTTGTAATGTTATGATATTACTATCTACTTTATAGTAGATTAGTTATTAAATTTATGTTTACCATTCTATTTATCTGGAAGTTAGTTAATTATTAGGAATTTAGCATATTATACTAACCTTTATTACTCCTTTCATGGAATTGCCGATGTAGTATAGATTTCTTTGACGTCCTCAAAACTCCTAACATAAGCATATAAGATGTTAAAATACTTCCAACAATAATACTACATTTTCAAATAATAACTTCTATCATAAACAGAAAATTAAACAGATAAGCAAAATATTTCAAAAACGATTGCATCTATATTGAACAACATATACATATGGAAATATCTTCGTAATATGACACTTTATAATCTAATCGAATCTTCTCAATAACAATCAAATCAAAATCATCGATATTATTAACCAATTTAAACATAATCATTTATAGTTCCTAAATAACAAAAAACCTAGATTGATCATCTAAAATATTAGCAAATCTACTAATAGCTTAGTCAATTCAATATCTTTTTGCGGATTAAGCACAAAACTTCACTCATACAGATCTTTTGCAACATATTTTCGTGCTGGCAAATGAGATAAAGAAAAAACAATCAGGTGATCAGTTACCACATAATGATCTTAACAGATTACGGAAAAGACCTAGAACACAGTCAATAAATGAGTGTAAGTTTCTCGATAATTTCAATTAATTCTATAATGATCTTAATATGCTTTTGTTTAAGTTGTTGTTTTATGATTTTTTTTCTTTCAAGGGACTGATGGGAGTGTCGAAAATTCTAATTTTCTTGCTTATGGGTCAATATTTCGTGATAATACAAACTATGTTCCTGTTCCAACCCTGAAAAACTCCAGTACTATAAATCTTCGTCTAACAAGTATTCGAGAATCTTTGCTATTAGTACCTAATAATTTTTTTGGTAAATAATTACATTGTTGTGCTTTAAATGCACATATTAAATATTTTGTAATTTATCATGTACACAGTTCATGGAGACAAAGAAAATCAGGTTCAACCTTCAAATATAGTAAACTCACCTGCTACATCCGGAGCTTCTCCATTTCGTAATGTTAGCACCAGAGGTAGTCCTGCACGTAATATCTTTGTCAAACATTTCATTCTTTAATTCTCATTATTCTGATAATCTTATATTCTCTATAACATGATAAACAATACTCATCTCAGCAAATCGAAGTAATAAGAAGTCTTCTTTACAAATGTGTCATCAGATTGAGTCATCACGTATCCTTTTCAAGTATTTGTATTTTTATCACACGAGATTATTTATATATTCCTATAATATTCATTGTGTTTTTCTTTCATATAATCTATATGCGTTAAGTTCAATCATGGTTGAATTCAGTTATTGATAAAGTTAAAAATTCAATGGAAAATGCTCAAGTTACATCTTCATTGAAAGGTACATTCTCTATTTTATATTTGTTATATAATAATCATTTCATATTT